AAAAAATTTTAAATTTAAATTAAATAATATGTATATAAGATAAATTAATAAATAAAAAAATTTATATTTAATCATATAATGCACCTGGCCCTTGCAGTTTAGTGACAATAACCACTTAGTGCATTCCCCTCTCTTCGGGCTGAGTTCGAATCCCGCTCCTTGTAAATATGTTCAAAAAAAATCATATAATTTTTTTTTTAACATAAAATTTCTTTTTTAAAAAAAAAGTGGTACACAAAAAATTAAACTATAATAATAACCATAACTAAAATGCACCCTACTAGTGTAACAACAACTGCAGGTGCATTTAATCGTGTAGTTTAAAATTAAAAAAAGAGTTGAAATAGTTAAAAGGGGAAAAAAAAAACTTGTGATGGATATTGAGCTATTGACGTGACTTGAGCCATCACATCAGGTGTCAATCTGTTATTTATCATGATAAACGAGACCTGGTAAGAGTTGGAGTATTGTAGACTCATGACCAAGCAATTTGGTCAACACCGGCACCACCTCTGTAACCTCTGTTTACTTTATGCCTTGCGGTAGGCCCCTACTGATTCCCTAACCTAATCACTTGCTTGCTTTTTTTTTTTTTTTTTTAGCTTATAGTGATGATTAAGAAATTAATAGAGTTAGTTTGTTAGTATCTGAAAATTTTTAAAATAATCAACATTTCACCCTCTTATATGACACGCACAATTATTAAGTTGCAAGTTGATAAAATTCACAATGATAACAAAATTTAAAATCTTAATCTCCGCCTTACTTAAACCCTAAAACTTGAGACCAACCATCGGCCATCATGCCCGGTTGGTGCTTGCATTTTAATCAAATATGAGACAAATTGCATTTTCTCTCGTGAATTATTAGTGGTCATTTTAACAGAATTGTTAATGGATTATATTTTTGATTAATATTTAAATTTTATCAAAAGTAAATATTAACATAACTTTTAATCATTTTTTTGGCTATATATATATCAGGCAAATTAATCTTGCTTGAGAAACATGGATTCATTTGAAATTATGAATTTTCCTTCTGCTGTTTAAGGTTTTGGGAGCAGCGGATTTAAAAAAATTTGAAAAGTTTCTCCCGATAAAAACTTGGTTGAACACATATTCACAAAACATTTGTGTTGATATGTTCAAATAAAAATATAACTTGTTTCTATATTGTTAAGTGAGATTATGGTTATATTTTAAATAATTAATATTATATTTTTTTAATATAATTATTTATTATATATTTTTTTAAAATTTTAAAATTTTTATTATTTAATAAATTAAAAATATAATAATAAATTAAAATAAAAATATGTGATATTAATAATTAAGAGTGTGATAACCCATTACTAAAGAATTAATACTACCATTTTACATCTTCCCCACTTTGTTGAACATTAATTTTGATAAGTATAGATGCGAGAATCAATCTATTAAATAAAGGAGCAAATCAGGACCCATTCTAAGAAGAAAAAGAAGCTCTCTTCTTAATTTGGACGAAGGAGACATAAACTTGTCACCTTGAGAGTATGCTTAAACACCACTCCACTATTGGTGTTCTTGATCACCAAATTTGTTAACAACCATTATCCAATCCATCATAACTCCAAATTCTCCTCTTTAGTCTCTTTCTTTCCCTTTGCTATAAATTCCTCTCCACCCCCTTCCTTCAATCCTTCAATAGACGACTTCAATCCATTCAACTATGGTAGCCATTATTGCTCTGGTTTTTACCATTATCTTCTTTCCATTTTCTTCTCCTGTTAGTGCACTGAGGTCGAATTACTACGACAAGACATGCCCTCATCTCGAGCAGATTGTCAATTCTACTGTCGAGAAAGCCATGAAAAATGATAACAAAGTAGCTGCTCGACTACTTCGAATGCATTTTCATGATTGCTTTATCAGAGTATATACTCTGAATTTACCATCCAATTTAGTAATTTATGATGATTTTAAAAGTGGTTCAGATTAATTTACTTTTATTTTGTTCTGTTATATATCATAGGGTTGTGATGCCTCTGTTCTGCTGGAGAAAAAAGGGAACCACAAAGCAGAAAAAGACGGACCTCCCAACATTTCATTACGTGCATTTTATGTTATTGACCATGCCAAGGAAAAGGTGGAAGCTCTATGCCCAGGAGTCGTTTCTTGTGCTGATATCCTGGCTCTGGCTGCAAGGGATGCAGTTTTTCTGGTTGGTAACATAAACTAATTAATTAAGAAAAGTATATAATTAGATTTAGAGGGAGTAGTAACATGCATACTTTAATTTTTATTTTATTGATTAATAAAGTTCCAATTATTTTGGTTTAGTCTGGTGGACCCACTTGGAAAGTGCCCAAAGGAAGGAAAGATGGAATAATTTCAAAGGCAGATGACACCATACTGCCTCCATACCCCTTGCCATCCCCCAAATCCAATATATCTGAGCTAAGGCGGAATTTCTCCGAAAGAGGCCTCTCCTTAAAAGATCTGGTTGCACTTTCAGGTATATATATGTAACTTGAGGGCACTAATTAAATTATAAGAACAGCACAAGATATGATTTGAAATTAAAATTTTAAAGTTTTACAGCCTCTACCTCCATACTTTTTATTTTAATTAAAAAAATTTTAAATTGAAGGTCTTGAATTGCGTCTTAAAATAATTGTTTGTCTTGCAGGAGGTCATACCCTCGGGTTTTCTCATTGTTTTTCATTCCAAGATAGAATCCACAATTTCAATGACACATTGGACATTGATCCTAGTTTGAATCCATCCTTCGCCAACAGTTTAAGAAGCGAGTGTCCAATGCACAACAAGAACAGGAGTGCTGGAAGTGTCCTTGATTTCACCCCCTTTAAATTTGACAATATGTACTACAAGTTGCTTCTTCAGGGAAAGAGCATCCTCACTTCGGATCAAGCTTTACTCACAGATAAAAGAACTAGAGCATTGGTTGTAAAATATGCAACGTGCCAGGAAGAATTTGAGAAGGCATTTGTGAAGTCCATGATCAGGATGAGTAAAATCCGGGGTCATGGACGACAAGAGATCAGGCTGAACTGTAGAGTTGTTCGGTGAATTTTAGCCGTCCGTCAAGAAATTAATTATATACAATTATAATTTCCCTTTTAGGATTTCAAATGAAATGAACCCTGTTTGATGTGCCTTTCTTGACTTCCTACTTGTTTAAAAAGTGAATCAGTGGTGTCAGTTGATTAAATTGGTTTTGACTAGGTATGAACTTAATTAGTTTAGGGATAATTTTTATTAATAATAAAAATATATTGAGTTTAAGATGTTTGGTATGTAGTTGTGATATATTAAGAGATGTGAGTGATTTGTAAAAAATAGTTATATTGTGAAATGTAATGTGATCTTAATGGAAAATGGTGTTTTGATTTAATGTGATTTCAGTGCTCTAATGATCTTCTCACCTGCTTCAAGTCTTCAATGATCACGGTTTAAGGTCATTTCCGTACGCCGCAACACTACTCCCTAAAAACCGTAAAAATAATCGCCCAATATAAGGAAAAGGGGAAAATTAGCTGAA